CCCCCCCCCCCCCCCCCCCCCCCCGCCTGCCTCTCTGCCTACTTGTGATCTCTCTATCCCTCTGTCAAATAAATAAGTACAATCTTAAAAAAAAAAATCTTGTTTCTTGGTGTGTCTCCTTTTTCCCCTTTGTTCATCAGTTTTGTTTCTTAAATTCCACATGAGTGAGATCATGTGTGTTTGTCTTTCTTTGACTGCTTTGGCTTACGTTATACCCTCTAGCTCCGTCCCTGTCATTGTGAACAACAAGATTTCATTATTTTTCTGGCTCAGTAATATTCCTCCGTGTGTGTGTGTGGCACACCTTCTTTACCCGTTCATCTGTCTATGCACACTTGGGTGGCTTCCAAGTCTTGGCTATTGTGGACGTTGCTGTAGTAAACATACGGGAGCGTGTATCCTTTCAAATTAGTGTTTTTGTGTCCTTTGGGTAGATACCCAGTAGTGGACTGGCTGGGTCATACAGTCGCTCTGTTTTTTTATCTTCTGATGAGCCTCCATGCCATCTTTCAGAACCGCTGAACCAGTTTGCATTCCTGCCGACAGTGCGCGAGGCTCCTTTTCCTCTGCACCCTTGACAACACTTCTTGGTTCTTGTGTTGCTGACTGGTGGGAGGCGGCACCTCATCCTGCTCGTGAGCTGCTTTCCCTGATGATGAGTGACGTGGAGCGTCTTCCCGTGTCTGTGGCCATTTGTATGTCTTCTTCGGAGAAGTATCTGTTCGTGTCTTCTGCCCACTTTTAAATTGGATTATTTGGGTTTTGGGTGTTGAGTTGTGTAAGTTCTTTATGTAATCTAGATACTAACCTTCTGTGGGATGAGTCACTGCAAATATCTTCTCCCATTCTTTTAGTTTGCCGGTTGTCTCCTTTGCTGTGCAGAAGCTTTCTGTTTTGATGTAATCCCAGCAGTTTATTTTTGCTTTTGTCTCCCTTGCCTGAAGGGACCCATCTAGAAAAATGTCACTACGACCAATGTCGGAGACATTACTGCCTATGCACTCTTCTAGGACTTTTATGCATTTAGGTGTCACATTCAGGTCCCCAGTCTGTTTTGAGTTTATTTATGTGTCTGGTGTAAGAGAGTGGTCCGGTTTCATTCTTCTGCATGTGGCCGTCCAGTTTTCCCAGCGCCGCTGGTTGGAGAGACGGCCTTTCTTGTTCCTTTGTTGAAGATTAATTGACCCTATAATTGTGGGTTCATTTCTGGGCTCTCTGTCCTGTTTCACTGAGCTGTGTGTCTGTTTTGTGGCGGTCCTGTGCTCTTTTGGTGACTGTGGTTCTGTAGTAGAACTTGACATCTGGAACTGTGAAGCCTCCAGCTTTGCTTTTCTTTCTCAAGAGAAAACAGCCTTGTCTTTCTCCAGGAGTGCGACGGGACGAGTGTGTCCTCCACCCCCAGGGCCTTGGGCTGTGACTGAATTTGGACGTAATTGGTTAAGATGAGTTTGTTCTGGAGTAAGGTGTCCAATATGACCTGTGTCCTTAGGAGACGGGGACACGAACATGAGCTCACAGGGAGAAGGTGGGAATGTAGAGGCAGAGACTGGGTGGTGATGCTTATGCGTCCAAGGATGGCCAAGGACTGCCGGCCACCAGCAGAAGTGGGGACAGGTCTGGACACGCCCTCCCGCAGAGCCCTGGCGGGAGCTGGTCCACACCTCTGGCCTCCGGGCTGTGTGAGAATCCAGTTCTCTGGGCCCCCCGGTCTGGGCCCTGAGTTCTGGAAGCCTCCGGAAGCTAACGGTGGCCGCAGAGAGAACATGGCAGACAGACGAGGAGCTGGTTTCAGGAGGGTGCCGCAGCAGGGCGCCTGAGTCTCCTGGGCATCCCTGTTTTATTTTTAAGGATGTGTCCTGAAGGATGCAGATGAGGCACCCTTGGGATGTCACATCTGGGAAGAAAGTCGCTTGAGCTGCTCACTGGCACTGGCCGTTGGGAGCTGTGTGTAAGGTTCTGCTCCTGGGCTGTGCCGGTGGTCAGCCTCAAGCCCGGAAAGTCCCTGCGGACGGCTGCTGAGGTTCCCCCACCCGGAGGCCACCCCGCGGCCAGGCTCCCCGGGACACTGTGCTGTGCCGAAACTCCACAGGCGCGTGGGTGTCGAGCGCATGGCTAACTCGCGTGTTCTTGCCCCCACAGAGTCTGTGGAACAGCACCACCAAGACTTCCAGATGAACAACCGGAAGGAAGACATGGAAATCGCGTCCCACTACCGGCACCTGCTCCGCGAGCTCAACGAGCAGAGGCAGCATGGCGTCCTGTGTGACGTGTGTGTCGTGGTGGAGGGCAAGGTCTTCAAGGCCCACAAGAACGTCCTGCTCGGCAGTAGCCGCTACTTCAAGACGCTTTACTGCCAGGTGCAGAAGACGTCGGACCAGGCTACGGTCACGCACTTGGACATCGTCACGGCCCAGGGCTTCAAGGCCATCATCGACTTCATGTACTCGGCCCACCTGGCCCTCACCAGCAGGAATGTCATCGAGGTGATGTCCGCGGCCAGCTTCCTGCAGATGACGGACATCGTGCAGGCCTGTCACGACTTCATCAAGGCCGCGCTGGACATCAGCATCAAGCCCGATGCCTCGGATGAGCTTGCGGAGTTCGAGATCAGCGCCCCCCCTGGCAGCAGCACGGACGCGCTCATCTCGGCCGTGATGGCCGGAAGGAGCATCTCGCCGTGGCTGGCCCGGCGCACGAGCCCCGCCAATTCCTCCGGAGACTCGGCTATCGCCAGCTGCCACGAGGGGGGCAGCAGCTACGGGAAGGAGGACCAGGAGCCCAAGGCCGACGGTCCCGATGACATTGCCTCGCAGTCGCTGTGGCCGGGCGACGTGGGCTACGGGTCTCTGCGCGTCAAGGAAGAGCAGATTTCGCCGTCTCACTACGGAGGGAGCGAGCTGCCCTCCGCCAGGGATGGCGCGACGCAGAACCCTTTCTCCGAGCAGGCGGGAGGCGACGGCTGGCAGCCCGCGGGCCGGAGGAAGAATCGGAAAAACAAGGAGACGGTCCGGCACATCACGCAGCAAGTGGAGGACAGTAGCCGGGCCGGCTCCCCCGTGGCCTCCTTCCTTCCGGCGTCCGGGTGGCCGTTCGGCAGCCGAGACTCAAGTAAGCCTTTTGTTTTTTCTGGGCTGGAGTGAGAGCCTGTCGCCCTGCGCATCAGTGGCCCTTGGCCGCCTGTTCTGTAGGGAAGCCTCACCTTCCAGGCTCCCCCGGTGCCTCCCTGCAGGGCCGTCTCCGGTCGCGGGAGGCGGGTCCAAGTGCATGGAGTCGGGCTGTGGGGACCCCAGCTGTATGATGCCCATGCCCGAGGCCCACGGGGCCCACCTGAGGTGGGGCTTCTCTAAAGCTGAGGGGTCAGCGGCTGGAAAAGGGGGGTGACGCCTGGCATGGGGTCAGCTTGAAGGGTCTACTTTCCTTCTTAGAGGAGAGCCTTTCGTAAATACCAGGGAGGGTACCTTCATCTTAAAAGATTTGAACGTTAAAATGTTAAAAGGTGGGAGAGTGCTTCCGATGAGATGACATGAAGGTGGAACCTCTCGGGCCCTCGCCGTCCGCGGCCTCCGTCTGGTTTTCTGTCCAGCAGCCGTGGGTCTTGGTCATCGTTGGGGACGTTGAGCAAACTGTGACAGGCCTGTGTTCCGCCCCTGCCAAGACCTGGCTTGATCGGGGGCACCCAAAGACTCTGGCAGTAAAGCACTCCTCGCAGTGAGGATGTCTCCCTATTTCCAACCAGGGCGGCTGCGGTGGTCCAGGTGAACAGACATGCCGTCGTCTTGCTGTTGCGGGACATTACTGAACAGTGAGCCCCCCACCTCGGCCCCGCGTCCGGCCCCCCCCGTGAGGGTCAGTGGGCTCTAGGCTTAGCTTTGCTGGGTTGGTCCCCAGTCTGGATGACAGTTCTGTGTCTGTCTCCCAGATGAGGGGGCAGCAAACAAGACAGTTTCTGAAACACCAGGTGCCTTCCCTGGTGCTGAGTTCGTGAGGACGGCTGCTGCCTCCACCCGCCCGCGGGGAGAAGGGGGCGCCGGTTCTCTCCAGCCCCTGGTGCGGTGAGGTGCGGAGGGGTGAGGAGGGGAGTCCGGTAGAACAGAGTTGGCTCAGAGCAGGGTGGGGACGTCGCAGCGAGTTCTTGTCCTGGGGAGGGCCCTCTAGGAAGACCGGAAATTGTCTGGAACGTGGGAGTGGACAGAGCTGAAGGCAGCAAACTGGGGTAATGGTCCTGAAAAATGTCACAGATACTAAGCATCCTGTCCTCTGATGGCCAGGCGGGTGGGAGGGCCCTGGACGAGCCTGGGCTCCGGCTCCCTGCTCTCGATACGCTAGCTTTTATTATCGTGGCGAGATGCGTATGTCATAACCATTGCTTTTTTAACCCTTTCCAAGTGTGTAATTTATCGGCATTAAATACAAGCACATCGTTACACAACCGTTGTTACTGTTCATCTTCAAAAGAGTTCCGTCATCCCGAACCGAGACTCTGTACCCATTAAGCAGTACCTCCCCAAGATGCACGTAGCCTGCGTTATTCTCTCTGTCCCTGTGTGTCCCGGACCCTGAGCACACGGCCAGAACCCTGTCTGTTCAGGTTTTCCACCTCAGACTGTGCTGGGCACTCTAGGACAGAGGCGGCATCCCTGACCCCCATCCACTGGATACCGGCAACAACCCGTCTCCAAGTTTGGTGACAACCAAAAGTGTGTCCAGGCATTGTAAATGTCGCGGACGGGCAGCACCCTACAGCTCCTGGAGTTTAGCCCAGCTGAGACGTGGAGCTGATCGCAAAGCCGCCTGTCTCCCTGCCAGCTGTCAGCAAGGAGGGTGCACTCCGTGTGCCCCAGACCCGGTTTCCACTCTCACCAGCTCTGATTCAACTCTGAGAGGCAGCAGCCCCTGGCAGATTACTTAAGGACAGATGCTCTGTGTGGCACCTTCTGGGGCAGTCAGGGCCACAGTCCTGTCCTGGGACACCTGCCTGGTGGCCGTCAGCCGCCCAGTGGACTAGGATGCTGGAGGCCGTGAGGTTTGAGGGCCCATCAGCACAGTGAAGAATGCTCGCTCCTCCGGCCTGTGGGTTTGAGGGTTTAAATGCAGTTGTCAAGCAGAAGGTGTTTTTAGAATCCAACAAGTGATCTCGGCTGCGTACTTTTGTTAATGTCTTAAATCGCTTGGGTTACCAAGGCAACCACGAACCGCTTCTGTTAGATTATTCTGAGTTGCAAAGACAAGGACATGAGGTTGTAGGCTCGCATAGGATGGCTTCTGCTTGCTGTGGCGGTCGTTTCCTCCTCCAGCCTGGCCCTGGAGCTGGCGTGGAAGTGGGAATTGTGACCCCCTTGGAAGTCAGTTTGTTTTCACCAAGTATCTATTACCTCCTAGCAGAGTGTTTTAACTTCTCATCCTATTTGTAGGAGAAAGGGCCCCATTCCAAGGGAGTGCATCAGGTGGTAAGTGCAGATTGTTTGGGGGCTCAGTACAGACGCACGGGGAGCCAGCTCTGAGCCCAGGACTGCCGGCCCTGCCCTTCTCTGCGTCTGCACCTTGTGATTCTGAGCCTGTTGGCATTTAAGAGTGACTTTTCCATAGGATGCCAGGGCGGCTCAGTGGTTAAGCCTCTGCCTTCGGCTCAGGTCATGATCTCAGGGTCCTGGGATCGAGCCCCGCATCGGGCTCTCTGCTCAACAGGGAGCCTGCTTCCTCCTCTCTCTCTGCCTGCCTCTCTGCCTGCTTGTGATCTCTCTCTGTCACATAAATAAATAAAATCTTTTTTTTTTAAAGTGACTTTTCCAAGCAAAAGGCCAGGAACATTTTAACCTAGTGGCTTCCAATAAAGCGTCCGTTGAAATTTACTTCTGCGTTCCAGCAGTTTGTCCACGTGACAGCTCCGTAAAGTTGTGACCAGACCCGCGTTCCTTCTGCTTGTCCTCCTTGGGCCCTGGCTGGCCCCCTTTGTGCGCGATCCCAAGATGGCCCCAGGCCCCCGATGAGACGGATCTGTAGCTGCTGGTTCAGCAGCCGATACGGGAAGAACCCAGATGCTTGTCCTAATGTCCCATGTTCCTAAAAGGTTTAAGAACAGGAGTTCTGTAGCTAGAATAAAATGTGTGGGTTTTGTAAAGTAAATGTTGATGCCTAAATTTTTGTAAAGTTGGATCTTGACCTACTGTGATTTTTAAGAACATGCTGGACCCACAGGACAGCTTCCGGGGTAGGTGGTCTCTGTAGGCTCCCAGCCGGCTCTACATGCCCTCGGGGCCTCCTCCCTGCGTATAGGGGGGCAAGTGTGCGCTCTCAGGCTTAGGGAGTCCACGCGGGGGCCGAGGTAGGAGCTGCCGAGTGGGTTGTGTGACGGGGGAGTCTGCAGTCTGCGCACGGGCGCCGTCCTGAACCACGGGAGGGCTCGGCCGGATTCGCCCGAGGAGTGGGGAAGCTTGTGAGTTTGGGCTGAGCCGCGGGTCGGGTCCGTGGATGACCGGAGACGTGAAGGCTGAACAGGGTGCCTGGCACCCAGCGCGTGATGCCCTGGGGACCCTGCACACTTCTGCGGGCGGCTGCCTTGCCACCGCCGACGCCGCAGCAGACGGGATCCCGTCTCTTAAGGAAAGGCGTCTTGCTAGGTGTTTGTCTTTCGGGGGAAAAGAGCCTGAATGAAAAGTGACACCACGGCCTTGTGGGGCTGGGACTGGGCCCTGTTCCTGCACTTGGAGCTTCCCCCTTGTCACCCCCTCTGCCCCCATCGTCTCCTCAAAAGTTCGAGCTCAGTCGCAGACCGGAGATGTCTTCCCTCAGGTACGACCAGAGTTCTGCGGGATCCGTTCCGGCTCACCGTGCTGCTGTCCGTTGGTGGCAGCTGGGGACCCGACAGAGACAGCGGCCCTCTTTGATGGAGCACTGGCTGAACGAGGAACACAGGGGCCCTAGTGGGAGCCCCGGCCGCCGAGAGGAGAGGTCGTGCGGTGTCCTTTGTCTGGGCCGGGAGGGTGGGACGCGCTGGTGACAGGAACGGCCGCCGAATCTGGGTGTCCAGAGCTGGGCCCGCGGGTGGAGTGGCGCCGGGGGCCGTGCCCGTGATTCCCAGCTCATCTGCGCTCGAATCGTCGTCCTGGTGGAGGGTCCCGCGACCTCGGCTTTGCAGAGCTGGGCAGCTTCTCGTCCCACCCCAAGAAAAGCACTTCCTTCGCACCTGCATTTTCTAGAACGTGTCTGTGAAGGGTAACGCGGACATCCAGCGCCGCCCCCGGTTCCTCCAGGTGCAGAGATGGAGGCTGGGGGCTGCAGGGCAGCTGGTCCCTGGGGGTCCCCGCAGAGCCGGCAGGACGCCGCACCCGGAGCAAGCCCTGCAGAAGAGCTGGGGTGTTGGGGGTCGGTGCGGGACGAGCAGGCCCCGTGGTGAGCCCATCAATCTGGAACAGGAGGATGAGGTGCTTCTGGAAGCCCCGTGAGCCGGGCAGCCCTCCGGGCGCCGACGACGGCGAGCACAGTGAGGGCTGGGGCTCAGGACCCCAAAGGCCGGCTCGCAGGGAAGAACTCAGTGGACTGTGCGTGAGCCGCCGTGGCTGCTGCTTTGCTGAGCAGCACTGGGATGTGTCCTTGTGGGGAGTGTGAGCACCGCGTTGTGCTCCAGGGTTGTGGCACCGGGAGCCCTCTGCGGGTCCTGAGCACGGGGGCTGCCCGCCCGCAGCCCACTGAGCTAGTGTGCCGGTGCGGGAGCCGGCCTTCGGGGCTTCAAGGTTGGTCCACAGGTGGGCAGCCGTCTCGCTGGGTCATTTTGATTTGAACTTGAAGCCTCGTCTCTTTAACCAAGTGCTTATTTTCTTTTGGGGTTTGCAGACCGTGACAGTGATGCCCCAGAGGGTTTCTGACTTGGGGCGGGAGCCAGAGCCTGCAGCTGCCTGCGTCCCTGGTGCCCGCCCAGTGAGAAGGGGTTTGGTTATGCTGGAGTCTTCAGGGTGAGACCATGTGCATACATAAATGATACACATATGTGAGAGCACAGCTTGTGAACCTCCACTGAAATGGAGATTTTTTTAAAAAGACTATTTATTTATTTATTTGACAGACAGAGATCACAAGTAGGCAGAGAGGCAGGCAGAGAGAGGAGGAAGCAG